CTTCCCATGGCAGGGGGGGTGGAACTAGATGATCTTTAAGGTCCCTTCCAACCCTAACCATTCTGTGATTCTATGACATTGTCTGCCTCCTCAGCGTACCCTGGGTGTGTATAGCATGTTACAACACAGTCCAACACAAGCACTAAAATTGACCAGAATGTCTTCTCATTCCTGTATTTTCCTGAGCCTCCCAGACTTCTTGCCACTATTTTAACTGGACAAAGATCTGTTGTACTTTCGGTTTTGTTTTTTAAAGTACAGCAAAAACACCAACAGGGAAAATGCTTCTCATGGACCAGAACTCTAAGGAAAGCTGTTCTTCTACTGTTTGATAATAAGTAAGCTGTTCAGTGCGGAGTGCAAAGGCCAACTATGTTCCTAACTCTTCTTCAGGTATTATTCCTAAAATCAGGATATGGGAGGAGATATTTATGACGGTAGGATGGTTTCAACTGTTTTGAAAGCTTGCTCCGAGGCTGGCTTTGGTTGATGACATTCTAGAATCAAATCTAAGAAATAAATTAAATAGCTGCCCTGTATAAAAGGCTTGGTAAGCCATTCATCAAAATATGATAGAGATACATTATATTCTGAGATACACCCACAAAAATAGAGGGGGGGGGGGAAACTTTTCCGGTAAGACTATTCATATTATCCAATCTGGCCCCCTGAATACAGCAGGTTAAGAAAATTAATTCAGGTAAGTATAAAAGCTGTGGCTGGTTCATGTTAACACATCCCAGCAGAACTTACTCCAGCCTGACACTGAAGCAGATGAAACTAAATTCTACTCTACAAGAGACTGTGTAAAGAGCAATATTTTCAGCCAGAAGATTATGGAAATCAGGCTAAAACGACACTGTTCAAACAGCTAGGAGACAGAACTTCAGCTAGCAAAAAAACCAGCTTGACTCCACTGACTTCAGGGGACCCTTCCCAAAATACCATCAGCTAGGATTCTGACACTGTCATAAAAAAGGTTTAGTTTGCAGGTTACCATTGGTATATCTGGTACTTTTAGTGAAGATACACATCTTCCTACAGACTATAACAAAAGAAACAACCAAAACAGAATTTTAACATAGGGCATCACTCGGGCTAAGTGTCAAAGAATAAATGTGCCTCTGTTCTACCAGCTCTGTAAAAGAAGGGTGAAAAAAAATGTTGAATGTAGCAAAAGTGTAATCCTGGATACACTATGCTGCAGAAAGAGATGAACTACCAGAGGTACAAGTCCATAGAACGGTATAATTACTTCCTTTATACCATTGCTCTCTTCTGATTATGTACATACATTTTAAAGGTCCTCCGTCCTTCAAAAGGGCATGGGAGGGGGAGGCCAGCTCTGTATAGTTGCTGGTAAGAAATCCTAATCTCAACACTGGTGTAATGTAGAGGTGTCTATACATTTGAGCACTTCCTGTTTTCACTCCGTGATCAAATATGTTCTTTGCAGGGCAAATAGGGGAGCACTTGAGGGAGGAAAGCAGAGATGTCTGAGAGGCTAATTGAGTGTACTAAGGACTCCCTGGCATAGAGGAAAAGGAGTCTTCCAAAGCTATGAATAAACTCTTGGCTTGGGTCAGATTTCTTGCTGTTTCTTTTCTTTAACCACCTTTGAACTCAAATAAAAACAGCCTTAATGTCAGGTTTACCTTTCTGATGTCGTAATCTTTATGTACTATTGAAAAGCTTATACTACCAGACTAGGATTTCCTCTACTTTCTTAAACACTGGATATTATCCAGAAAAAGCATACACATTTCCAACCAATTCATCCTCAGATCTTTCATCTTCCGGTACTGTTGTAATTCCAAATGTGAGACAGAGCTCAGTAAGTGAATCAGAACATGACAGAAGCTCCTACTCCTTGCATTTGATTTCCAACAATAAAAACATGCATGTGTATCCTATTTCAAATATAATTAAAGTTACTGCAAAATGGAAGTTGTGATCCAGGTTAGAAATTGTTTTGAAAGACACAGCCTGTCAGATGCATTCATTCTACATTAGAGTTCAAGTGCCTGTCTTTTCAAAAAAGCCACTTAGTCAATTCAAAAATCGGCTACCTTAGGAGTTTACAAACTGATTGAATAAAGGAAAAAATAGCATTTTATTTAAAATCATAAGTAAATACAATTAGTCAGAAGTGGGTTACTACTCTCTTTGAATTTGACAATCTAAGGGAATTTCAAGTTTAATCCGTGCCATAAGAGATGGACTGCCACTGCCTCTCCTTCAAGGGAAACCAGAGGTTAATGATTTTTGTCATATTGAGACTAACAGTTAACAATTGCTACAGTTGGCCTTTAGTATTTTATTTGTCCTTTTGAGGTATTCAGAATAGGTGACAATGGCTTGCAGTTGAGAACATATGTAGAGAGACCCCTGTGGCTTATGGAAAAGTTGCTCCATGCTGGTTGGGTGTTTGAAAAAAAAATACAACCAGAGCTCTTTTATGTTCCTCTCCTTAATGAATGCATGAATGTCAAAATGTACCAATGGCCCATTCAGGGGGCAAAGCCTAAGCAGCTCCTTCTTTAAGAACACATCCTGAGATGTAAAATACATTTGCTTAACAAATTAAAATAATGAGATAATTCAATTAGTTTCTTTAAAAAAAAAAAAGGAGAGAAAGAAAAAAGGGTACATCAGGGGATTATTGTAATACAAGAACAGGTCATACAGCACAAAGGAGGAACAAACCGATTTGAAATAAGGTTAGAGTAGTAATGAAGGAATGTACATTGAATCATGGACCGCCATTGTAAAGATATTTACTTGAAACAATAAAATTGTACATCACAGATTCCACCGTTCTGGCTCAGCCAGTGTTGCACTTTCAATGGACAAGCTAATTTGAGAAAAACTGCGAGATCTTTAAAAGAAAGGAGTTCTCTTCCTTCCCTGCATGTGTTTATGGCAAGAATCTTTCTGAATTTACATTGCACTGGTCAGGGGTCCCCATTATCAGTTTGCAGGTCTGAGAATTACAGCACAGTAAATCTTTCAACACCTGCAAACTCATTAAAGCTTGGACGGTAAAAGGTTTGGGGCTTTTTTGTGTTCATTTAATTTGATTTTGCAAGGCCATCCTCACTGGTGATGGCAAATTTCCTCAATTCATGCAGGATGGAGAGAGTCAGGAGAGAGAGGATGGAAACAAGGAAAGGGGATTTCAAAAAGCCAGAAGGACTTTCCTCAAGAGAAGCGAGAGGCAGTTGGCTGTTTAATAAGCATGTGTGGAATACTTTCAGGGAGCATGTGAGGAAGGAAGGCAAAGAGAAAAAAACAATATATCACAAATTTCATAAGAGGAAATGGAGTTAACACAGAGACATGCACAAAACAAACTGGTGTATTTGTGGCCCTGCTTTTTGCCGTCAGCCTGTACTACTCCTCTATAGATACCCTACAGCTAAATGAAAAGCCCTCCACTCACACTCACTCGACTTCCAAATTAAAAACATTTTACAGGTTAGTAAATCTCCAGCTGAGGTGATGTAGCAAAGAACAGCTGTGAAGTAATTTTGATAATGATGAGAATAATAAGCACATGGCAAGGTTCAGGGCTTTGCTGTTGCAGCTTCAGTGCTCCTGAATAGATAAAAGTGATTAAATACTCCTGATTATCCCTGACCAATATGTAATGGATTTACAGCCCTTTCAATTAGTCAGTATTTGCTTAGGACTCATTATTTTGTCTTTGGTTAAGTAATCAGCCCAGAGACTCATGTTCTGTCTAATTCCTCTGAGCCAAGTGGGTACAGGGCACCTGACCTTTGAAATGGCCATAGCTGGGAGGCAGGAATAACCACTACTCCAGCAGAGACACTGGCTATTCCAGCTAATCCTGACCCCACAGGCCAGATCAATGCACCTTAGTTTGCTACTAATGTCCTTACATCAAAATGATGGTTTAGAAATGTGGATCTATCGCTTCCCCCTTTAGCTGTGCTGCTAGCAGAGCAGTTCGATAGTCCCTATCATAAATAAATCGGGTACCTTGTCCTGAAATCATTACACTGTAACCAACATCAGCTACTGTGGAAATTTATAAAACTTTGGCAGAAGAAGAGGTAGTTAATAACAGTTAGCATTTTAAGCCTTATCAAGTGAGAAACAATTTTACAGTGAGAGGAAGAGGAAAATCAATTGATAATTTTACCAGTTTCCATTATTTCCCACATGAAGTAAACTACAAAGAGTGTTACTAGGTTTTCTGTGGAACCACGTTTTGATGCCTCAGTGAAGCTATAATAGTCAACAGAACACCAACACATAAAACCAATTGCAAGCAGGAGGATAAAGATAGCCCATGGAAAGCATTGCTTTTTCACATCTTTAATCTCTCTCCCCCAAATGTGATTATGGCTAGCTTTTAACATAATGGACTTGAAGACAAGCTAAAAAGGTGCTTATTCTCTCTGTTATGCAACTGAAGAACTAGGGAACCTGTAAGCCTTCTGTATTTCTCACAAAAAGTAACAATGACAAGTTTGCAAGCTGCTGCTTTGACTTCTCTAACATCCACAGTGTATGTCAGCACACACAGACTGGGGCTCTGTCTTCCACCACATAAGTATGAAGTTTGTGTAAACAGAGGCCAGCCATAAAGAATCCAGAAGGCAGAGCTTTATATATGCTAAAGCAAGAAACGCCCTTTTTTGTCCTTAGGAACATTTTGAATAATTCAAAGCAAAAAATTATTACTTTATATGTAGGTATTGTTCCATGCTAAGGCTTTGTACTCTCTCTTCCTCTATAGGCATGTATGTGTGTATATATATACAAATATATGTATATGTTTCTTTCAGATTTGTCATGATTCCAAGAGCCAAGAAAAAAGAAATCTAGAGGAAACAAAAAAAAAAAAGGCAACAATAATTGAGCCCTAATAATCGTCCAAAAATTATGGGGACAATTGATTTCTAATAGCGATGAATAAACCTCATTAGGCACATTAATAGAAATCTATTTTGGTTTTGGTCACCACTTACTGTGAGATGCTGGAAAAGCCACGCTCTCATGATATTTGTTGCTACTTTGGGGAAAATGCCTCTTTTCTTCTGACGCTTTTTGTCCTTGTCTGGGTCATCGTCATCCCCTGTACCAGGTGAGGCTACACTGTTGTCTAAACCATCTCCTACAACAAAGAGAAAAACAGGAAGGAGGAGATATTTAATGAACAAAATATAGAAGCCAAAAAATATCATTAATTACCAAGACACTACCACAGTTTTATTTTGACTTGCTAAATCAGGCACATGCAGTTTCTCATCATATACGGGTGCTGATACAAATATGTAAAAATTAGAAACCATGTCGCTCCAAATACTAATTTTGCGTTTCACACATGCATATATCATTAATTCAATTATAATTGTGTGCTTGACATAGTGCAATAGCTCTTTGTCAATTATGGGATTCAATGTGGGAAAACCTGCCACAAGAAAACTCATTCACTGTAAATGCATCCCTACTACCATGCTGAATACGTACTATAAGTAATCAAGTTAAATGTTCTGTAGTCTATATATTCGAGGCCCTCTGCAGAGGTGGCAGTAACCATGTCACCGTTCAGTGCACATAACACACTGTCAGATGAGCCCCTCCCCATAACCATCACCTCCCAACACACATACATACGCACGCACAAACACGTACACCTAGTATGACCCTGCATATAGCATTTGCATGACATGAAAACTTCTACATCTCTGCATCAGTGATTATTATCATTAAAAAAAAAAGATGCACATCAAGGTAGAGCTCTCACTTAATCAGAACTTTCCATCAACATCTTTCTCTTCTGTGCTTTTCCCTGGCATTAATTGTGCATTAGCAAAAATCATTTACTTTTAACAGTCATAGTTATTTTTTCTTGCCCTCCAGCAAAAATGCCTTGAAAGCCTGCCTGGAGGGCATCTAAATTATGTATCTGAAAAACTCTTCTGGCAAGGCATTGCAGGACCCCTACTTTCTTAAAATTCATACGAGCACGTCTTCCTGTTTTTGGGAAGGCATCAATCAAGAGCAGCAATATATGCCATATTCCTACATTAATATTTGAACTAATAACTTTAAAAAAAGGAAAGAAACAAGATCCGACTTGTGGCATAATCAAATGCAAAATAAATGAAGAATACTGGGACAGCACTGAGACTTTATAGATTGCTGTGTTTTCCTTACACATCATTAGCCCGGAGCCACACGAAAGAGGAAAACAGAGAAGTGGAGAGTTTATGCTCCCTGCTGGTGTTTAAGAAGCCGAGGTCCTGGAAGGACATCTGGGAATTGTGCTGAGACGGTGGTTTTTGTAATTTAAGAATAGACATTCATTAGCAGTAAATGCCATAAATCCCATGCTAAGTAAAAACCTTGTCCAAGAAAGCCTAAAACAATAAACTCTGTGCTCAATGTAGCCTGAGCTAGACGCTCCATAGCTTCCTGAGGAATGCTATAGATTCACGAGCTAATTCCTATAGCCTTGTCTAGCTCTGTAGTGCTGCTAAACGAAATACGTTGCTGCTACATACAGTCCATTTGCTTCAAAACTTGCATTTCAGCTCCATCTTCCCTCCCATGCCAGATCACCCTTATTCCACTGCCTCCCCCCTGAAAAACCAACCCTTTTGGACCGGAGAGACAGAAAAAGCCACAGCAAAGAGCTGGCAGATTAATTTTATTGACATTTCCATTTTCACTGCAATGTGATACCCTCCATCACATGGAAGAGATGACCCTCACTATTTACAGACTGACAGGCCACTTCATTACAACCACCCTGCCCCAAGGCAGAGCAGCTCCTTTCCATCTGCCCAAACACCAGAGCAAGACCCTGAAGTCGCTGCTCTCTTTCTCATGCTCCTTTTTTCTTTTCTTTTTTTTTTTTGTTTGTTTGTTTCTGTCAGTGATAGAGAAAGTAGAGTCGTATCACAGCAAACTAATCTAAGAGATTATGGAAGCCCTAAATGCTGTAACCAACTGTTCACTTTTGCAAGATGTTGGTTATTTAGAAAGCACTCCTTCCTGAAGCTCTCACCCCCCCGCTCCTATATTCCACCCTACCCCTCTCTCTCACACGCGCACACACACACACACACACACTTTCCACTATGCCAAGGAACTGCTGCAAGGCAAATTCTCACAAACACTAATGGCTTCTGACTGCTCCTTGGCAACCCCAGCATTTTAACCTGGGTGGATATGCTCTCCAAAATACAGACACTGGAGCTATCTCATCAGCTGTTCATGTGACACAGATGGAGAGTGGCTATTAGGAGCCAGGCAATGGGCCTTGGGGATCTGAGGTGCTGTACTGTAGCCTCAGGCAATTTTGAAAAGCAGTACCCGGAGATGGGGGGAAAAAATCCCTACTGAAAGTGCAAGTTTGAAGTCAGTCAGTCTGTTTGTCTATCTGTCGTGTGGATAAAGATATCTTTGTCTCTTTATGTAAAAGCCATGTGCGTATGCACAGGGTGTGCGGAGCTATAAAACTTCTGTTCTGCATCATCCTTTCACACCACAGAAGCAGCAGTTCACTCTCTGTATGGACAAATGCCTGTTTGCATATACATACACTCCTGTTTGTGAGCATCCTCAACAGGAGTCACCTACATGCTAAATCAGCGTTAAGACCTTTTGGCGAGGTTGTGACTATCCTGGTTTTACAAAGCTAATAGCAGCCCAGGAGAGGAAAGTTCAGCTGAGGCTCCCATTGCTTTCCCACTTGAATCAGTAGTTGAAACAGTAAGAGTTAGTGCTTCCCTAATCTGTTCCATAACCTCATGAAAGGAAATCCAAATATTGTACCTCCAAATGACCTCAGAAGATGAATACAGCAAGAGTTGTTGCTCCTGGTAAATTACAGGCCCAATCCTGTTAAACTGTATTGTCATATCTTTAGCAGAACTACAGCTGCTCACATTAGTGGATACTGTTTCTAGTGGCAAGAAATCACAGAAGTAGCCTGTAACTGACTTTTCCAAGATGGAATGATTTACTTCTTGGATATGGAGGGCCTGATGCTAGTTTGCTGTATCCAAATACACGAGTTACTTTAAATTAAGAAAAAGAAATTATCAAAAGTTAAATAAAACAGACATGAAAGTCACTCTGTGTCAAACTGGGTTAACTATATTTTTAACTGCTCTATGAAGGAATGCAAATTTAAAACATTTAAACCATCATTACAAGTGATTCTACTTATGTGGACTGTTCATATCCCGATTTGGTTGGTAATTTGTAAGAAGAGTAGAGCCAAGTCCTAATTTGTATGGAAATTCCAATTCTATAAGCATAGTTATCCCAATTTTCTAGTGGGGAAATTAAGTCTAGATTTTGGTCCACTGACTCTCTGTTTCATACCACAGCCAAAAGAAAAAAGAAAAAGAGTGACTTTCTCCTGCTTTGCACACTGTCCACTGTTCACAGTACAAGTGATTGCTAAACCTATCACTGTTTCAGGAAAGTGGAGAACTCTTAAGAGGCACCCTCTTTGTGGAGGTGTCAATGACTATGCAGGATTCAAGCCAGCAGAGAACTGGGCATATTATCCAGCTTGTTTAAGATTATATCAAGGCTATGTAATAGTCTCAATAACCCCTATGAACGCTGAAGAGAGTTTACAAGAAACTTTGCAAAGTGACCCACATGGGGTTCCTTAGAGACCTTCTCTTCTAGGGGAAGGGTTTGAGGAGGAGACTGAAGATTAAAGTCTTCTTTAGACAGTGGGAAGTTAGGCTTCCACACTAGCTCTGTGTGCAGACACTCTTAGCCCATGCTGAGAGTTTCTTCCTACAAGATAAATTATTTTGCATTGAAAGCAAAGGAAACTACCTATTATTAAAAAAATACCCAAATAAGTAGTTAAAGCAGGGTTTCCATTGCACCATAATTTCAAACTTAACTTGCTGCAAACTGATTTCCTTGGACAGACTAGCTTGCTGACCCCAATGTTCATACAGCTAAGGACTCTGGGAAACACAGCCCAGTCCTACAGCAGGCCTGTCCAACCTTATTTTATCAACAAATTCCTCTTTGACAGTCCTCCACACTATCAGTATTATCTCAACCTTAGTTCTTATTTATGTTCCTCACAGAGTAAAGAACCAGCAAAAGATGAAGCAAGTGCTGTTCAGAAGCTGCTCATCTAGTCTTTTCACCATTTGTGAACAGGAGGAATAACAGGTTCCCAATCTACACAAAATGACAACTGAAAAGGATAACCCAGTCACGCCAAAGCACAGAAACCTGGTAACAGCCCAGATTCAGATCCAGTTTCTATTACCATCATAACAAGCAGAACAGTAAGGAAAGTGATTTCTGGAAAAATACATTTCAGGAGCCAGTGCTAGAGCTTCTCCACCACCAGAAGTGCCTTACATCTTTATGGTTTCTCATGCTAAAGGAAAAGAGAGAAGAGCAGGGGTATCTAAGGTGGAGGGGGAAGACAAGACACTTCACCATTTTTCTAAAAATAGTGCAAGCAATATGAAAACCAAGTTAAAGGATTCTGAAAAGGAAAGTTGCAATCCACTGTGCTGATCTTAAGTAAACTATTCTACAAACTTTCAGTCCAGTATTTTGATGGAGTAGAATATGTAGACATAAATGCAAAACAAAGAAGAGAATCTGCATGCAGCCTATATTCACAATTTGCAATTATTTGTTTGTACTTACGATGTGTCCATCTGGACACACAAGTATAGTAAACCATCATTAATAAGGATGTTCAATTTAGTAATATGATCCACATCACCACCAGAGAAAAATCTTAAAAATCTGGTTAATTATCACTGCCAAAAAGCTGAAAAGAGAAGTGTTTGAGTATGTTTTGAAGATAAGACAGTCTGTGCTGTAGGGAGGACTAAGGGAGAAGGAAGGTCAGCTCCAGAATCAAAGACCCTTCAGGAAAACTCCTTATCTCCATTCCACCCTGTTAAAATCATCAGTCTTTTAGCCTTACAGTTTCAGCAGATCACAGCTCCTTGCATGAAATGAGGGCTGTGGGATTCTTTTTTTCTCCTCCTCTTAATGGTCATTGTTCATGGAAGTTGTCTTAGTCTCTTCACACCACAAAAGCAATACTTATCTACTGCATCTAACTGCCTAGGGAAGCTTAGTTAGGATAGGTTATGGACG